ACAGATACAAGAATCTGTTTGTTTGTTTGTGTTTCATGCTGGGAATGGAACCCAGGGCCTTAAACATGCTAGGCATGTGCTCTTCCCACTCCCTAATAGGTTTCTTATAAGAGTATGTGTGTGGCATTTGTTCCTCACACAACTCAAGTAGAAGAGTTGTGAGATAAGAACTTTTGGCCTCTGTAGGAAATGTCTACTTTTATGGGTTCACAAACAGCAGGCAAAAAATTCCGCTTCTGTTGTTTTACTGGGAGTAGGTATTGAAGTACCCTGGGTGGCAAGCTTACTTTCTCTGCACCTCCACTGGAAGTGTTGGCTTTACATAGTACCAAACATTCTGAGTTGATAAAGGCAAAATCAGAGCCATTGCTGGAAAAGAGGAAGACTGAAACTGACCATTTGTGGACATTTAAAAACATTTACTAATTGTCTAGAAACATTGTCTGAGAATACCCAGCTGTGAATATACCCTTGATCAGCTGTAAATTTTGAACAGTTGCCACTCATTCAAATAGGAATTTCTCATCTGCTGATTTTTTTTATTTTTTGGTGGAGGTGGCGGCCGTGGTACTGGGATTTGAACTCAGGGGTTCACACTTGCTAGGCAGGCTCTCTTGGGCCTCGCCTCTAGGTCTCATCTGCTTTATGACATTTGCTTTTTAAATTTTTTAACTTGCTACTTAATGTTGGATCAAGTGTGTTGACAAAAAATGAGGTGGCCGTGTGGCCCAACCTTGAGCTCAGGTTCGAGTACAGTTTCCCAACATCTAATCCTGTGCTTGCCTCACGATACACATTTTTATCAAAGTCTTCCCCTCTGGCTCCTCGGGGTTCATAGTGGCACAAAATTTAGGTCTTGCCCTCTACTAACTGGATAGTATTAACTTCAGAAGGGGTGGTGTTTGATACAGGGAAGAGAAGGAGAACAGAGAGAAGGGACCACTACATGACGTACCTGATCCCTCCCCTCTCCCCAGCATAACAGAGCAGGTCAGAGCCAGGGCTTTCCTTTCAAGGGGCTGGGAAGAGAGTGTTGTCAGAAACTGCATGAGGTCTTGGTTTTGTTTTACAAATCTGATCTTTTAATCAAGAGGTTCTTAATCTTTGGAAACACATTGGTCCCTGGGGGCCACAACCCTTTCCACTCTGAAAACCTTGAGTTTTCAGTCAAAAGTGAAAGGTGCAACTTGTATTCACAGAGCAGCTACTATCTAGTAACCACCACAGGAACACTCAGGATTTGGGGGACAGCTTATGCTTCAATTGGATACCCCTACTTGATAAGACAGTCCTTACCTTTCAAAAGAAACTCCAATAAAAGGAACATTGGCTTCTTTCAGATGTGTTGATTTGAATCAAGAAAAAAAAAAAAAGACTACTTTGCGTTTTCTTCACTCTGTAAGGACGTCCTTGTACCAGTTTTGAGTTTTGGTAAATGTAGGTTAGACAAGTATCCTTGCCACTGTTGTCAAATGTGAATTAAATCAGGTGGCTCCCCCTCCTCATAGCCAGTTAGGACTGAGGAATTCAGCAGGCTGGGTGAACTACACAACACCACCCAGCACTCTCAGAGCCCCGGGGAGGGGGTGGGGGGTTCTGAACCCACAGCTTCATTCATAGGTACTAACATGCAAGGTACCAACATACTCACTTAGAAAAAGAAGGCACGTGGAGCCCAGTTTCTGTGGAGGCTTAGTACCACTGCGTAAGGTTCACACTGAGTTTACGTACTTTTTTCAGTTAAGTTTCAGCAAATACCTGCAGTATGTTTCTATTGTCTAAAAATTGGCCTGAAGTACCTTTTCGCTTTTGTGCCGCCCAAAAAAAGTACAGCAACTCACTTTCTTCACTGCTTCTAGTCTCTACTTGTGTGTGTGTGGTACTGGGGATCAAATCCAGGGCCTTGCACATGCTCAGTGAGGGCTCTACCACTGAGCTACCCAGCCCCTCTGTTCTTATTCCTGCCCTGTTAGGCATGGTGGAAATCAACCCCCAGACAAACCTGAATCTACCCAGGTCCTCTTTGAAGACACCTGTGGCATAAGCTTGTCTAAGTGTTCACCCAGCTCCACTGGCTCATCTGAGGGTCATCTTACTGAAAACCAAGGTATGATCAACAACAGAACCTTCTGGGAACAAAAGGAGCTGGACTCTAGAAGTGTACCTGGTTCCAGTGCTGGCTTCCTCACTGGGTAACTTAAGGCAGGGATATGCCTTACCTGGGAAACATGGAGACCTCTTTCATCAGATCACTTTGATTAAAATTTACAGGTAGCATGCAAAGCCCTCATGGGTTCTCAACACATTTTCTTTCCATTCAGAAAGGTTACAGGTGGCTCACACCTGTAACCCTAGCTACTCAGGAGGTAGAGATCAGGAGGATTGCAGTTTGAAGCCAGCCCAGACGAATAATTCTTGAGATCCTATCTTGAAAAACCCATCACAAAAATAGGTCTGGTGGAGTGGCTCAAGGTGTAGGCCCTAAGTTCAAGCCCAGTACTGCAAAAAAAAAAAAAAAAAAAAAAAAAAAAAAAAGTTTGAGGTAAGCGGTTGAATGGTAAGTGTGGCTTCTCCATCTTTTCCAGAAGCTTGATATATCACATATCCCTCACTGAGGACACTAGACCTGTGATCTTAACTTAGCAATCTTTAGTCAGGCTTATATTTAGCCTTTAACTTAAAAAAATGAAAGCAGAAAGTGCTTCAGATTATAGGGGGAGGATTATTTTATGTATTAAAATGAAGAACATGAGCAGACTGACTTGGAAGTCTTTATTGACTGAATCTGTACATCCATGAAGTCTCTTGGAAGAAAGACAGGCTGGGAACCCTGAGTTGTGTCAAATGATAAATTAGAAAGCTGGCCCTAATTCAAAGTCCCTACTTCTTCCTTGGGTTCACATTTTTTTTTCCCCCTTTAGGCAATAAGCAGTGTAACTTAACCAGGAAGAAAGAGATCCACACCTTCCTCAAAAAAGGGAAGATGGATCTGATGTCAGGCTTAATTAGATGTAATTGAGATGACTCTCCAAAAAAGTGCAGCTTTTGTGATAGGCAAAACCTACGTCAACAGAGCCCGAGAAAGAGAACTAGATCCAGGATAGTTGTGCTTCTCTTATCAGCTTTTTGTGTAGTTTTTTGTATAATAAAAAGTGATTTGGAAACAAGGTAGACCTATGTGAAACCAGGAAAGTGAATTGCTCCACTGTTAGAGCTGTCATACTCACAGGTTTCCACAACCCAACCACAGGCTATCAGATTATTTATTGTCTACCAAAGGGAACTCTTTGCTACAACTGTTGGAATTCATTTATCTGCTCTGAATTCTGCCTAAGAACCCTCATCAGAGTGGCCAGCCTGAACACTGGAAGTGCTTAAAATGCAAATGAGCCAGGACTCCTGGCCAGCCTCCCCAGCCCCTAGCAAAGGGCTTCAATGCAGCCAGGCCTGGAGGGGAATGTTAAAGAGACACTGCACTGCCTCCTTCCCACTGCACCCGCTCAGAGACCCAGTATGCTCCACTGAGTCAGCCCCAGCAACGACTGGCTTTCACCTTTTCTCAACAATGGCCCAGCTCCCTCCACAGCCTCCCCACGCCACTGACAGCAGACACACCCACTTTTCTCCCACCTCCACATCTCATCACCCACTTTTCCAGGACTGCCCACTAGAGCTCATTTCCACCCAAAGAAAAACTGGCCACTTGGGGAAACTGGGACTCTTACAAGTCTGGTTTTTTTTTTAAAGTTTCATTTTCTGTAGTTTGTTTAAATATGTATGTTGACAGTTTAAAAAAACAAAAATTATAGAAATCTCCAGGCTAGTCACATTTCTAGAAACGTCACATCGGGAAATCAGTAGTAAACCTTGCACACAAGGAATGTCCAGCCATGCGCAAACTCACACCACAGCACAGGACGCACAAGCACTGGGCCTGGCTTCCTTTCCCTTCCCAACAGTACAAACAGTACCTCCTACTTTGGCATGTACCCAAACACACAATGCCTCAAAAATAATTCACAGATACAAGGGTTTGGTTGGGTTTTTTTGTGTTTTTTTTTTTTTCAAAAACATACTTCATATTTCCTCTTTTATTATATAAATATCAGTTTAACCTTTTACTGTAAGAATATAAACGTTTTAAGAGGATCTTTGTTATTTATACAAATTCACAAACAGTACAATTAATTGATAAAGGTCTCTGGGTTTCTTTAACTCCATGGTCTTGAATGTTGCTGAGGAGGACTCTAAAAAATAAACAAAATCCAACAAAAATATACATCCCACTCAAAAGCGGGTTTAAAGCCACAGACCCAACCCCCACCAAAATAAAGTCATCTACCCCTCCATGTAGAAACAGAAGTTTTAAAAGCCACAAGCTCCCATTTTATTAACAGAACACAGATAAGTGGGAATGTCAGTCTCCTCCTTCACATTACAGCCCCAGGGTCTCTGCAGGCCCACTCTGCTCTCTCCTTCCAATGGGAAGCCTCACTGGGTGGCTTTGTATGGAAAGTTGGAGAACGGTGAAGGTAGGGCAAATTTGCATATATAATAATCATCTCCAAGACACAATCTGCATCTCAAACAAACAAAAAGGCAGTTCAACTCCCATTTCTCCCACACATTTGTGCTATAAATTAAGTCAAGGTTTAGAAACAAGGTTGGGTCCTCAAATCCCAGTGGACAAGGAGAAAGAGGAAATTAGAGCCAGCATGTGGAAGTGGGGAACACTAGGTGGATGCAGGTTGGTTAGAAGCCAAAACAAAAAAGACGCACAAACCCAATGGGCATCTTTCCAGTCTAGGCACAAAAATGTTCAGTCTCAAAATAGCTCTCTTGTAGAATTCCAGAGCTTCAGAGAAAAAAGTATAAACTAAAACGAGGTAGCCAGACACATATGTATATATATATATATATATATATATATATATATATATATATATATATATACACGCATATATATATATAACACAAAATACAGAATATATTCAGCAGAAAAAAAGGACCATGATTTCAAATTTCTTCAAAAAATAAAAGAAGGCAGATAAAAATGAAATGAGCATGATAGCAGAGTGCTGTAACAGTGATGAGAAGAGACTGGGATTGGTTACAAAGTGGAAGAAGGGTGAAAAGGCCGTTGTAGTTGGGTTTGCTTTTTATACATTTCAAAATAAAAACCAGATCACAGTATTCAAATGAAAGCTTAAGTGAAGGCAGACATTTTCCTCAACTCGTGGTTGAAAGGACTAGTCGCTCCCCGCCCCCACCCCGTTTCAAAATGCGAAGCCACCAAGGGGCGCAATCAGTCCCCCACCCGCTGCAGGTTGGGTGGGTGTGTAGCAGAGTCTGTCTCTCCATCCGCAGGGAAAGGAGAGGCGTAAAGCGGGGAAGCAAAGGGACAAGAGGCGTAGGGAACGGGCTGGTGGTGGGGACGGCGCTGGAGGAGGAGAGAATGCGCCTGGCTCCTGGCCTGGGCCCCATGGCAGCCACTGGCATCATCTGTGTGTAAGTGTGCTCCCCAGGGTGAGGGCCGGTGGTGAAGGGAGGATGAACAGGGCGGGACAAGGGGAACTGCGCTGCTGCCCTCACCTGACCTTCTCACTGTCCGTCATCTGCCAGAGTCCCAGGTTGAGTACCTTGAGGCAGGGCAGCTGCGTGATGCGCTCCAGGCCGCGCTTGGTGATCCGGGTGCAGCCGTACAGGTCTATGCCCGTGAGCTGGCTCAGGTGCTCAGCAATCAGCTCCAGGCCCTTGTCCGTGATGCGCACACACTGGCCAATGTTGAGCGTGCGCAGCCCGTGCATTTGCCGCACCATGCGGTTGATGCCATCGTCACTGATGTGGCAGGAGCAGAGGGAGAGGGATTTGAGGCCGTCCAGCCCCTGGGCTATGTAAGCCAGACTCTGGTCCCCCACCTTGTCGCAGAACGACACATCCAGCCCTGAGAGGCGCAGGCTGCCCATGGCCAGATGCATGATGCCCGTGTCACTGATGTTGTCGCAGGAGCGCAGATTAAGGCTGCGCAGGCTGCCCATGTGCGACAGGTGCAGGAGGCCCGCGTCCGAGATGCCCCCGCAGAAACTAAGGTTGAGGAGCCTCAGGCCCGCCAGCCCTCGGGAGATGTGCTTTAGAGAAAGATCCGTGAGCTTCTGGCAGTCCTGCAGCGTGAGCTGCTCCAGGCCCAGGCAGCCCTCGGCCGCGCTGCGCGTCATGCCGGCCAGGTGCCCAATGCCCACGTCCGAGAGGTGGCGGCAGCTGCGGAGGTTAAGGCTCTTGAGGCGCTGCAGACCCCAGGCGATGAGCAGAAGGCCGGTGTTGGTGATGTTGCTGCAGCCCCCCAACTCCAGCACCTCCAGGCCCTTGAGGTACTGGGCGATGCGGCCCAGGCTGCTGTCGGTGATCTGCTTGCAGAGGCTCAGGTTGAGGGCGCGCAGCGAGCCGATCTCCTGCACAAACGCGTGGCCCAGCCCGTTGTCGGTGAGGTTGTAACAGCCGCTGAGGTTGAGGCTCTCGATGTTGGCCATGCCCTGGATCACGTAGCTGAGGCTGCGGCGAAGACTCAGGATCTGCACGCGGCGGATGCCCCGGGCCTGCAGGCTGGGGAACAGCGACGGGTTGGCCCGGCGCAGGTGCAGCTTGGCCTCCACCCCCCGCCACACCGACTTGTGGTAGGCGGCGTCCCGCCAGGCCGTGCACACCTGCGCCGCGCGCCCCTTGTCCCGGACGTCCAGGTAGCCGAAGATCATGGCCAGCAGCTCCGGGAACAAGCATGAGATGTGGGTCTCCATCTTCCTCCTCCCCCCTCCGCGGCGCCGGGGGGAGGAGGTTGGGGTCCCGCCGCTCCTGCCCCGCAGAGGCGCCGAGAGCGGGCCGCCCGGCCGCCGCCTCGGGCCCAACGGCCGGCCCCTCCCCGCCTTCCGGCTCCGGCCGCCGCCGCCGCTCCTCCTCCTGGTGCGTCCGTCCTTCCTTCCTTCCTCCCTTCCTTCCTGCCTGCTTGCCTGCCGGCCGGCCGGCGCGCTCCCTGCCCTTCCCTCCCCCCGCCCCGTCCGCTCGGTCCTACATCCCGGGCCGGGAAGGCGTCTCACTCACTCCCGGAGCCCGGCCACCGCCGCTGCCGCCGCCGCCACCACCGCCGCCTCGGCCCTATCCGCGCCGCGCTCGGGCCGCGCCGCGCCGCCCGCTCGGCCGGCGCCGCTCCCACGCCCCCTGCCGCATCCTCCGCCCCCGGCTGCGCCGCTGCTGCGCGGGCCGGCTAGGGCCCGGGCCGGGCGCTCGGGCTCCGGGCACGGAGGAGGCTTGCTGCTGCCTTTGTCTCTCGCCCGCTTTTCAAACCTCCCAGCCCCGGGCCGCCCGCACTCGGACGCCCAGGCGGGGACCAGCAGGCCAATCCGGGCCACCGGGCGGGCGCGCCGCGGTTCCTCCTCCCCCGCCGTCCGCGGGCACTTGGGAGCTGCCGGCGCGGCCCGGAGGACGCGGCGCGGCCGGCGGCCGGAGCGCGGCTGGCGCAGACCCGGGGCGAGCGGGCGGGCCGCGCGCTTGGTAGAGTCCGGCCCGGGCCCCGCCGCTCGACTGCGACTCGGCGCGTCCCCTCCTCCCTCGCCGGCTCCCCCCGCGCGCACCCGCGGAATGGTACGCGCCCGCGCTGCCGGAACTGTCGGAGCCGTTACCCTGGAAACCGAGTTCTTCCTAGTCTCGGCGCCCCTGCGCTTTAACCCTGTCGGCGCCGAGCGCCTCCAGCTGTCAGCGAGGCGCCTCTCCGCGCGGCTGGCGGGCGCGCACCCCGTTACGCGGCCGCCCTCTCTGGCCACGCCCCAACGCCGCTCCTTCTCTGCGGTGACGTCCGCACAGCCCCTTCCCATGCTTACTTAGCACTACAATTCCTGGCCTTTGGTTTACACCCTCCTCCCTTTATTTTCCCTGAAGACTCCTCCTCCCAGTAGCAGAACTCAATAATCATCACCCCAACGCTTCCTTTATAGACTGTCCCTAATGCCCCTTAACACTTCTGTGTCTTCACACCCCTGGTCTCCCCCTCCACTTCAGGGGCTTAAAAATAATTTCCTTGCTTTCCAGGCTTGTGCCTTATACTGGAGAAAACTGGGTTTTATTCAGTTGAGTTTAACACTGACCCGCTCCACTCCTCGTTCTAGAATCTTCTAGAATGACCCATTGCGACTGCCAACCCTGGTCATTTCCAGGCGCCGCAGTGCGTTTTTCTGGGTACTTTGTGGATGAAAACTTCCCTCCACTTGCGCACTCTGCTGCTGGAAAGGAGCACCTTCCCCGTAAGCCTGTTGTATCTTCTTTTTCATCGGCCTCTTAAACTAAATTGCGTGGCCAAGCTGTACTGACAGTATGTTTCTGTGTGCTGATACAAATGTACTTTTTCATAAAACAGAGCAACTATTCGACTTGCTTGAAGATGCGGCAGACGGCACTTGGTTTATGAACTGTGTTTTATGGAACCAAGGTAATCCTCCTTTCTACAATGTAGCCCTGGGCCTTAAATACCCACACAGGACAGGAGTTTCGTTTTAATTACCCCCAGACTAAGAAGTTATGAAGCCACACAAGTCGATACAAGACCGTCTGATTAATCTATTGGAAAAGGAAAACGGATTCTTTAGGGACTTAAACAGATTTTGAATGGCTTCCATATTTAGTACATATGGATTGTTAGCTTTTGGTCCCTCCTCTTTTCCCCAAGTGATCAATGCTAGACCAAGTATGTACAGATTCACTAGTGGGCGTAAAGTACTTTTTTTTTTTTTTGCTCTGTGTTACTGGGGTATGAACTCAAGGCCTACACTTTGAGCCACTCCACCAGCCCCTTTTTTTGTGATAGGTTTTTTTCAAGATTGGGTCTCTCCAACTGTTTGCCCAGGCTGGCTGCGAACAGTGATCTCTGCCTCCTAAGTAACCAGGATGACAGACGTGAGCCACAGGCGCTGGTAATGTACATTCTATACCTCACCTGCCCCTCCTTCCTCAATCAGGAAATGCAGATGCAAAAAAATTCTTGCAAGCTTGTTATCACACCCACATTACACGCTGCGTGAGGTCCATAAACTTGGAGGGAGGGTGCCCTGGAGGCTTGCTAGGCAGGCACCTTGCCACTGAGCCACGCCCCTAGCCCATTTTGCTTTAGTTATTTTTTAGATTAGGGTCTCATGTTTTTGCCCTGGACAGACCTCAGACAGGGATCCTCTAGGACCATGGGCATAAGTCCAGCTCATTTTTTAAGATGGGATCTTGCTAACTTTTGCCCAGGCTGTAGGCCCATAGACTTTTATTACTTTCCTGAAATACTGTTTGTCATCAGATGATTCCAGAGGCTTGAAGGCTGAGCGTCCCAATTCTGAGGCATACCTGGGCTTTTACTCTTCTCCCAGGAGGATCTAGGCCTATATTCTCCATCACTTGTGCTTAAACTTTTATCTTAAACTCTACATAAAACCCACTTTTTGATGTGCGGTGTTGATGGATTTGTGTTGATCCAAAGCGCCTTAGTGTATACCTTAATCCTCCTCCACACAAAATAGTATTCCAGACCACACATTTTGGGGGTGGGGGGGATTTACAGAAGGTGCACGTCTATACAGAGGAGCTTTGTGGTTTTCCTTGTCTGCAAAGACCATTGTTCTCTGAAAAGTCATTCAGAGGCCCCTGGAAGCACTTTCACTAGAAGGCAAGTGGTCCCAGGTCTAGCAAAACTGTTTCTTGAGTTGAACTCTAGAATTTTATTCACACACAGCCTTTTTAAAAGTATTCAAGTACAAATTCTAAGAAGCTTCAGCAATATGATTATTTTTACATTTAGTAAACAGGAAGACCTTTCAGCAACAAACTTCTCAGGGGAGACAGAAGTGTGGCATTGTGTGAGCCCTATGCTAGTCACCTGGTGGTGACCCTTTCAGGGTTTTAGTTTCCTCATCGAACACTAGTATGGTTTCACTAGAAAATCTTTAGGCACATCCCAGTGGAAGCACTCTGAGAGCAGAAGTCTGGGATGATTCCTGCCGTCACTTTTACCCTGGGATTTTCCTTCATTTCTAGTGCAGGCTGCATGTTAATATTTTCAAACTGGGTGGGGGTAGTGGTGCACACCTGTAAACCCAATGCTCTGGAAGCTGAGGGAGGAGAATTGAGAGTCAGAGGCCAGCCTGGGCTATATAGCAAGACCCTGTTGTTAAAAAAAAAAAGAAAAGAAAAGAAAGGAAGGAAGGAGGGAGAGAGAAGAAAAGATCAGGTTAAGATTTTTGTATATGATTCAGCAAGTTGTGATCAGAAATCTTTCTGAATGAATTATAAACTTTTGCTTAGAAGCAGAAATGATAGTCTTTTGTAGGGAATCTCTTCAAAATGATACCAAGAATTTTAAAGAAATGTGGATCTTTAGATGAAGTGTGTTTTCGGCCTGGGTGGGACCTGGGAAAATTGAGAGGCCCAGCCCAAAGAGCAGGCCTCCTGAAAGACTCGTAGTTCCTCATTCAGAGAGAAAGCTCTGGAAAGAAAGATCAGAAGAGATTCATAGCTCTTTTCTCTCTCTCTCTCTCTCCCTCCCTCCCTCCAAAAGTTGAGTCAAGGAGTTAAACTACCTTGTCTCCTTTTCCTACAGTGTGTCTGTGACGCCATGCCTGTCAAGTAACAGGTGCTTTGTTAATGTCATTGAACTGAATTGAATTAGTGGCATCATAATAATAACACCTGTATGAAAGGCTCCAGGCATGTTGAAACTTCTTCAAGACTTCTGGGTAACCCGTAGCAGTGGATACCTGAGGATTATAGAATGCTGAGTTTCTGACCTGCTGGCTTCTTTCCACAGTGTGCTCTCCAATCCTAAATATTTCTAACCATCAACAAAGCGGCTTTGCCAGAAATTTAAAAGATCCTAAATATTTCTAACCAGGAGTGTGTCTTGGGACACCTCTTGATTCTAGTATATGAAAGATAAGAGAAGGTGAAGACTCGATTCGCTGATCAAGTTTTTTATCTGCAGATACAAAAACTTAAGCAGAAACGACAACAAAACCCCTAACAACCCTACTAATAAATGCATGAGTGACTTGAATAGACTTATCTCAAGAAGCTAAACAAAAAAAAGGAGGGGGCCATTGGGCGCTGGTGGCTCACACCTGTAATCCTAGCTCCTCAGGAGGCAGAGATCAAGAGAATCATGGTTCTAAGCCAGCTGCGCAAATAGTTCAGGAGACCTTATCTTGAAAAAAAAAAAATCACAAAAAATGGCTGGTGGAGTGGCTCAAGTGGTAGAGCACCTGCCAAGCAAGCATGAGGCCCTGAGTTCAAGCCCCAGTACCACCAAAAAGAAAAGAAACCTGCAAAAATTATACATGAGAAAAGTAACAAGATAAAAAAAATAAAAATACTTTAGCAGGTCAAAAAATTTTGGAGTAAAGATAGAAATAAATAGGTGAAAAATGTTCTATCATCAACAGATTGCCAGAAACATCCCTGAAATATTTGTTTATTTTTCCCCAAATTATTAGTTTGCTGTATCCTGTAAACATAGGCTACACATCATCTCTCTCCACCTCTATAGAAAAGGGTCTTGAGCTCTGGGCAACCAGAGCCTCTCATTAGCACGGCTGTACACTCACCATGTTGTCTACACTGAAACTCATGACAGTGGACTGAGCTGTGGCCTAGGGTGTGGTCAGCAGTAATTAGTGTGTGTGAGGCCCAGGGGCCAGCACTGCCAAATAAATAAATACATGAATAAATAAGGGGATGAGAAGAGGAAGAAGATGAAGAGGGGGAGGAGGAGGGGATCACACCCAGATGGATGAAGGTCACGCCTTCCTACTTGTGAAATGAGATTTCTTTTTCTAATTTGTAATTTGCAACTTTTGAGTGTTTCCTTAATTCTCAAGCACCCAGTCAGAGGATTAGAAATAACAGTGATAGGGGCTGGTAGAATGGTTCAAGCAGTAGCCAAGCAAGTGCAAGTTCCTGAGTTC